TGTCTGTGTGTGCATGTGTGTGTATGTGCATGTGTGTGCATGTATGTCTGTATGTGTATGTGTGTCTGTATGTGCATGTGTGTATGTGCATGTGTGTCTGTAGTGCGCATGTGTCTGTGTGTGCATGTGTGTATGTGCGTGTGTGTCTGTGCATGTGTGTCTGTGTGTGCATGTGTGTATGTGTATGTGTGTGCATGTATGTCTGAATGTGCATGTGTGTCTGTGTGTGCATGTGTGTATGTGTATGTGTGCATGTATGTCTGTATGTGCATGTGTGTGTGCGTGCATGTGTGTGTGCGTCTGTATGTGCATGTGTCTGTATGTGCATGTGTGTGTGCATGTGTGTGCTGGTCCTAAGACTTGAACTCCGGGCCTGGGCCCTGTCCCTCCGCTCCTCAGCTCCAGGTGGGCGCTCTACCGAGCCACAGCACCACTTCTTTCTGCTGGGTCCTGGGAGCTCAGAGCCTGGTGGACGTTTCTGGCCCGTGGCTGGCCTCGAACCGCGATCCTCAGGCCCCAGCCTCCTGCCTGGCCAGGGCCGTGCCGTGCAAGCCTCCCGGGGCTCCTTCCTCAGCGTGCTCCATGGAATCTTGGCACCCCAGATCTCCTCAAGAGTCCCCCCCCCCCCCCCCCCCCCCCCCCCCCCCCGCAGCCCTGCCCGGGAGGCCGGGGTCTGAGGACCAAGGAGCGAGGCGCAGGGCTGGGTGGGCGGTGGGCCGCGGTGGGGTGCCCCCCATCCCATCCCTCGGCCCGCGCCCCCCCGCGCCCCCCTCCCCGTGCACCCCCACCCCCCCACCTCCCCGTGCCCCCCCACCCCATCCCCCGGGCCCGCACCCCCCGCCCTGTGCCCCCTCACCCCCGTCCGCCCTCCCCGTGACCCCCATCCCCATCCCCCAGGCCGGGGCCTGCGCCCCCCTCCCCGCCCCCCCCTCCCCGCGCCCCCCCTCCCCATGGCCCCCTCCCCGCGCGCTCCCCTGCGCCCCCCCTCCCCATGGCGCCCCCCCCCCGCGCCCCCCCCCTCCCCGCGCCCCCCGCGCCCCCCTCCCCGTGCACCCCCACCCCCCACCTCCCCGTGCCCCCCCACCCCCATCCTCCGGGCCCGCACCCCTCGCCCTGTGCCCCCTCACTCCGTCTGCCCTCCCCGTGACCCCCATCCCCATCCCCCAGGCCGGGGCCTGCGCCCCCCTCCCCTCGCCCCCTGCCCCCCTCCCCGCCCCCCTCCCCGCGCCCCCCTCCCCATGGCCCCCTCCCCCGCGCTCCCCTGCGCCCCCCTCCCCGCGCCCCCTGCCCCCCCTCCCCGCCCCCCCCTCCCCGCGCCCCCCCTCCCCATGGCCCCCTCCCCGCGCTCCCCTGCGCCCCCCTCCCCGCGCCCCCTGCCCCCCTCCCCGCCCCCCTCCCCCGCGCCCCCCCTCCCCATGGCCCCCTCCCCGCGCCCCCCGCGTCCCCCCCCTCCCCGCGCCCCCGGCTTCCTGGCCGCCCCGCCAGGCCCGGCGCCCGCCCGTCGGCCAGGGCCCTTCCTCCACCATTGTCTCCCGCGCTTCCTGTTATGAGCCCCGCGCCCGACCCCTGCTGACCCCCGGCTGACCCCCCCTGCTGCCCTCCCCCCAGGCCTCGGGTCCCCCCCCCCGCCGGTGGGCAAAGCTCTGCTGCAACCAAAGGGAAACTGAGGCCCGGATGCGGACAGCGGTGCCCAGCCGAGGCCGGGCGCTGAGGATCCGGGTTCGAAGCCAGCCAGGGACGCGCTGATCGCGGTGACAGCGCCCAGGCCCCGGGTTCGAGCCCCACGGAGGCGGGCTGGAACAGGATGGGTGGACGTGCGCCGCGCCTCTGAGCAGGGCCTGGTGCCTCAGTTTCCCCAACTGTCCAAGGGCAGTCAGGACCCCTCCCCCGCCCTTGCCAGACAGAACTGAGTCAGTCAGGTGCTTGGGCCGGAGGCGGGCGCTGGGGGGGTCCGGAGCCGCATCGGGCGCTGGGGGGGGGTCCGGAGCCCGCATCGGGCGCTGGGGGGGGTCCGGGGCGGCATCGGGCGCTGGGGGGGGGTCCGGAGCCCGCATCGGGCGCTGGGGGGGGTCCCGCGCATCGGGCGCTGGGGGGGTCCGGGGCGGCATCGGGCGCTGGGGGGGTCCGGGGGCGGCATCGGGCGCTGGGGGGGGTCCGGGGCGGCATCGGGCGCTGGGGGGGGTCCGGGGCGGCATCGGGCGCTGGGGGGGGGTCCGGGGCGGCATCGGGCGCTGGGGGGGGTCCGGGGCGGCATCGGGCGCTGGGGGTGGTCCGGGGCGGCGGGGCGCTGGGGGGGGGGTCCCGGGTGGCCCGGGCGCCTGAGGGGGGTCCGGGGCGGCCGGGGGCGGGGGGGGGTCCGGGGCGGCCGGGGGCGGGGGGGGGGGATCCGGGGCCGCATCGGATGCTGGGGGGGGGGGGTCCGGTTGTGGGGGCTTGAACTCTGGGCCTGGGCGCTGTCCCTCAGCTCTTCAGCTCCAGGCGAGTACTCTACCACTTGAGCCACAGCGCCACTTCCTAGTTTTTCCTCAATTGTTTGTTTTTGTGGAGTTGGAAAAACAAAAAGAGAACCCAAGAAAAGAAAGGAACTTTTAAGGTTCCTGGAGGTAAAAAGACTATCAGGCCACCTGTGCAAAGGCCCTGGGGTCACGTCCTGCGAGGCCGGTGAGGCCAGCGGGGGGGGGGGGGGGGGGGGGGGAGAGGAGGGCAGGTTGCGGCTGGACCGGAGGAGCCTCGCCTCGGGGCCCCTGGGAGGTGAGATCTGCGTGGACTCAGCTGTGCCTGGTTGAGAGGCTGAGAGGGTGGGGACCAGGGTCCTGAGAGGAGGCGGTCAGACCAGGCCCGAGGAGAAGTAGGATTCTGGGTCTATTGGAAGTCCAGCCACAAGGCTAGCTGAAAGGGGTCAGAGGCCATGTGACCTGCGCAGACAAGGGGTGTCCCTTTTCCTGCTTTCCCCCAGGAGTGGGGGGACCCAGAGAAGTCAGAGTGGACCTGCGCTCATCTTTTTTCAGACAGGAAGGGGTGCAACCTGGAGTGCAGAGGCTCAGCTGTATGACCTCCCCCCCCCCCCATGCTGCGGCCGCATTTCTTCCCCTTTGAGCTATTTCCAACAACTTTAGCATTTCATCCATTAGCTGCTGGGTCGTTTGTGCGAGACGCTGGGGGTGTGGCCACCCGCCGTGGGCGTGGCCCGAGGATTCCTGGGTGCCTGCGGTTAGTGGTGATTGGTTGCGGCTCGGAGGGGCGTGGCCGGCGGCGAGGGCGTGGTCTCGTTGTGGGGCGTGGTTAACGGCGAGGGGCGTGTCTCGGTGACTGGCCTAGCCTGTGGGGAACGCTGGATTCTGCGCCCCGGCCCTCACGTCCATTCAACAGAAAACGTGCTCAGGAACAGCGCCCAAGCCTCGAGTTCAAGCCCCAGGACCGGCAGAATGAACATAAAAAGCAAAATGGTAGCTGGGTGCCAGTGGCTCACGCCTGTAATCCTTGCTACTCAGGAGGCTGAGATCTGAGGATCATGGTTCAAAGCCAGCCCGGGCAGAAAAGTCCCTGAGACTCTGATCTCCATTAAACCGGAAGTGGCGCTGTGGCTCAAGAGGTAAAGCGCTCACCTTGAGCTGAAGAGTTGAGGGACAGCGCCCAGGCCCAGAGATCAAGCCCCACCACTGACCCCCTCTCCCCCCAAAAAAAGCAAAATGGCATGTCTTATCAACATTGTCATCAGAAAAATCTTCCTTAATAAATAAGGAAAAAGCACGCATCATGGGATAGGCCAGAGGTGATGATTGGCCCCAGCATTCAGGAGGAGGAGCAGGGAGGCCTCAAGCGCCAGGCCGGCCCTGTCTCAAATGATAGCATCTTTTTTCTTGTGTATGTCAATTCTGGGTCTCGAACCCAGGGCCTGGTGCTCCGGCTTGGTTCTTGTGGTTCACGGCGGGTTCCATTTGTGGCTTTTTGTTGGTTCATTGGCAAAAAGAGAATCTTACTCGCCTTCCTGCCTCGGATGGCTTCACACCGAGATCCTGAGACCTCAGGTCTTTGTTCACAATCGGCTGCGAGGCCTGTGGCCGCTGAAGTGGGGAAGACCCTCCTAACCCTGGCCTCTTCCCAGGGGCTTGGGCTGGGCCCCAGGGCTTGTACAGATTACCACTGCGAGCCTCAGTTTCCCCTCCCTCTAGGAACTGGGACAATCGACAGCAGCCGCCTAGCAGATGCTTTGAGGCCTCGGTGTCCAAATCCGGCCGGGCCGCTGGAAGGGCTTTATAATACGAGACCACAGGGCGATCACATGACTTCTCCTAAAAAGGAAACAAAGTTCCCATCACGTGACCGTGTGGGTTAAAGAGCTGCCCCTGGAGGGCCGGCCTGGGGGCTGCTCCGAGCCTGGGAGTTTCTCTCCCTGTCCATTCTGTTCTTGTCGTTCCGAACCTGAGGCTGAGCCGTTGGGGCGGACCCCGAAGCTTCTCTTCCTGGACTGGACATTCTCTCTCCCGTGAAGACCCCTCCGTGGGGGGTGTCCCTTCCCCCATCCCATGTGGACCCTGGCCTCTCTTTCCTGCCTCAGTTTCCCGCTCTGGGAAGGCTAGGTTAGCCGAGTTGTGCACAGGGCGACCATCCCCGTGGGGACCCCTGGGGACCCCCCTCCTTCACCCCTCCAGCCGCTCAGTGTCGCGAGCCCCGGGACCGGAGGCCAGCTGGCCGCGCCGGCCTGGCCGTGCCCCGGGCCTGGGAGGAGGGGGGGAACAGGTTGTGTCCCGGGGCGGGGCGGGGCCCGCGCTCGCGCACGCGCGCTCCGGCCGGAGAGCGCGCCTGTGCGCGCACGCACGTGTCGGCGAGCGCGGGGACGCGCGCCCCGCCCCGCCCCCTCCCGGGTCGCGTCCCCGGGGACGTCCCGGCCGCCCGGCGCGCGGCCCCGCCAGTTCCGGGGAGGGCCCGGGCCGCGCAGCCCCTCCGCCCCGCTCATAAGGCGCAGCCCGCGGCCGCCGCCAGCGCCAGCGCCGCCGCGGCCCCGTCCCGCGCCCGCCCGTCCCGCGCTCCGGGCCATGGCCGGTCTCGGCCGCCCGGCCCTCGTCGGTGAGAACCTGGGACCCCTGGGTGCGGAGCGGTGAGGCCGAGCTGAGCCTGGGTTGGGGAGGCTGCGCCCGGCGGGAGCTTTGGGGCGCCGAGGGCTGCTCGCCTCCCTCGCGCGCCATCTCTGCACCGGGACCTGTTTGGAGTTTGTCTGGCCCGAGAGATCGGGGAGCAAAGGCGATCGGGGAGCAAAGGCGATCGGGGAGCAAAGGCGATCGGGGAGCAAAGGCGCCCGGGGAGGGGGACCCCAGCCGCCGGGCGGGTGCTCCGCGGTAGCGCACACAGAGGGGTGCGGGGCGGACCCCACCCCAGGCCCCCTCCCCGGACCCCCTCCCCCGCTCCCCCCGACCGCCTCCCCCCCCGCTCCCCCCGACCGCCTCCCCCCCCCCGCTCCCCCCGACCGCCTCCCCCCCCCCCCCGCTCCCCCCGACTGCCTCCCCAGGCCCCGAGACCCCTCCCCCGGGGCCCTCCCCCAGGCCCCGGACCCCCTCCCCCAGGCCTTCTCCCCGGGGACCCTCCCCCAGGCCCCGGACCCCCTCCCCCAGGCCCTCTCCCCCGGGACCCTCCCCCAGGCCCCGGACCCCCTCCCCCAGGCCCTCACCCCCGGGACCCTCCCCCAGGCCCCGGACCCCGCCCCCGGTCCCCCTCCCCCGGGCCCCGCCCCCGGTCCCCCTCCCCCGGGCCGCGCCCCCGGTCCCCCTCCCCCGGGCCCCGCCCCCGGTCCCCCTCCCCCGGGCCGCGCCCCCGGGCCCCCTCCCCCGGGCCGCGCCCCCGGGCCCCCAGTCCGCGCAGAGCAGGTGGCGGCGCCGGAGCCGGGCGGGGTTTGAACTTGACTCCGCGGGACTTGGGTCCCCGCCCCGCCGTCCCGCCCGGAGCCCTAACGGTCCTCCGGACACGGACCCCGCGCTGCCGGGGCAGCCGGGCCACCAAAACCGGGGGGGGGGCCCGACCGCGGGGCCCCGCTGGCCTGGCGGCGTCAGGGGGCGGCGGCGGGGCCCCCGCGCTAGGGACGGGCCGGGCTCGCGTTTGTGTGTTGGGGAGGATGCTGGGGGTGTGGACGGGGAGGCTGGGGTTCGGCCGTGAGACCCCCTTTAGAAAGAGGCACCAAGTGCCCCCGCCCCCGAAGGGAGCAGCGCTGGTCTTTGTTCCCGGCCAGCCCGGAATGAACTCCAGATGCGCGGCCGCCGCCCGGCTCCCGTTTGGTTTTCTTCCAAGGCCGCAGATGGACACCGCGTGGCCGGCGGCCTGGGGGTGTCGGGGGGCGGGAGCCCGGCCTGGGGGCCGGGGACACGGTGCCCAGCCCTCCTGGGGGCCGGGGGTCCCCCCCTGGCCTCCCCGCTCCAGGGTTTTTCTGGGGTGTCTCCCAGTCCCCTCAGAGCTGCGCTGGCTCTGGGAAAGGCTGGGGACAAATGGCTTTTGTCCCGTTGATGTCTGTGTCCCCTCCACCCCGCAGAGGGGGAAGTGGAGGAAGCCCCAGCCCTGTGTGCGACCGCAGAGCGCAGGAAGAGAGCAGCGGGCTGGGCCCCGCGCCTCAGTTTACCCCAGCTGGGAGGGCTTGTGTTTGGGGGGGAGGGCCTGCTCTCCGACAGTCAGGGGAACCCCATGGCCATCGCCCCCGCCCCCCCGCCCTGGGCCCTGTAACCGACTCGGGATTCCCTCGAGGGGGGGGATCTGGGGTCACAGCCATGAGTCACCCGCCTCCGGAAGTGAATGAGTCACCGGGACCTCCCCTCCTCCTCTCGTCCCTTCCCTCGCTCCCACACCCCCATTCCGGACTCCTGAGATTGGGGGAGTCTTCGCCATTCCCCTGTGTTCCCCATCTTGGCATTCCCCAGCACCCCTCTTTGCGCCCCTCTTCGGTGCCCTTTTTTCTCTTTCCGGACTCTGTCCCCCCTCTCTGCCCCGCCTTCCGCTCCTCTCCAGCTCTGCGCCTGTGCCTCACTCTCTGGCCACTGGCAAAGCAGGTCCTCATCTCTAAAGCTCCTCCATGGTGACTTGGGGCCCCCCAGGACCTGCTGTGGGTGTCCTGCTGCTCGCAGGAACACAGGAGACACCCCTCCCTCAGCATGCACCCCGCTCAAAACCACAACTCCTGGGGGAGGGAGCTGGGGTGAAAGGTCACCCCTGTACCCCAGAGATGCGACAGTGATTGTCACCCAAGTCCCCAAGTTGGCACAGGAGAGGGGGGACCCCCTGAGAACCTGGGGGGGCAAAAATACTAAATACTTGTTCTGGAATCTTCCCTGCCCTGCCCTTCCATTCCCTTTTCTCTTCTTTGCTTTTTTCTCTTTGGTGCCAGTTCTAGATCCTGAACTCAGGGCCTAGGTGCTGTCCTTGGAACTTTTTCCGTTCAAGGCTGGCGCTCTGTCTCTTGAGCCACAGCTCCACTTCTAGCTTTTTGCTGGTTCATTGGAGATAAAGAGTCTCACAGACTTTCCTCCCCTGGCTGCCTTCCAATTACAATCCTCACATCTCAGCCTCCTGAGTAACTAGGATGTCAAGTGTGAGCCAGAGACTCATACACACACACTCTCTCGCTCTTCTTAATTTCTGAGATAAGTCTTTTTTTGTTGTTGTTGGTGGTGGTCATGGGGCTTGAACTCTGGGCTTGGGCCACTGTCCCTGCACTCTTCAGCTCAAGGTGAGCGCTCTACTGCTTGAGCCACAGCACCACTTCTGTTTTCTAGTGGTTAATTGGAGATCAGAGTCTCACAGACTTTTCTGCCCAGGCTGGCTTTGAACTGTGATCTTCAGATCTCAGCCTCCTCAGTAGATAGGATGACAGGTGTGAGCCATTGGCACCCAGCCTGAGATGTCTTATTTTAAAAGTATCCAGCACCGATATATGTTATAGACTGTGATAGACAATTTGCTCCAGGAAAGTTAGAATGAACTTGTGACTTTAAATGAGCATCATTATTCCACAATACTGTGAAATTCGGGAAATTATGTAATCACTTAATAACAATAAAAAAAAAAGCACCTCAGGGAAGGTAGGGAGGGAAAGGATGGTAGGGGGAAAACAATGGAGGGGGTAACAATGCTCAATAGGAAGTGTACTCATTACCTTGCTCATGTAACTGTAACCCTCTGTATAGTATCTTTACAATAAAAAATAAATAAATAAAAGTAGCCCAGGCTGGACTTGAACTTGGGGTCCTCCTGCTGTGGCCTTATGAGGGCTGGGATTGTATGTGTGCATCACTATACCAGCTCACATGAGTTCTGCATTTGAGATGGACACAGAGCAAGCCTGGAGGGGGGGGTCAGCCCCCCACCCCTCAAAGGCACCCTGACCCCTCCCCGCTCCGTTGCAGTGCTGTGCACGGTGCTGAGTCTGTGTGGAGCTGCAGCCCAGAAGGCAGGTGAGTCTGCAGGCAGCACTCGGTCCCCACCTGGAGGCTGGGGGCAGCGTCCTCCCCGCACCCCTCAGCCCAGGGAGGACACAGGGCCGCCCCCTCAACCCCCCCCTCCCCTGGGCCCTCCCCCGGGATGGCGCTGGCCCCGCCCCAGCCTGGCTCCTCACCTGGTCCCCATCCCTGCCTCAGACTGTGCCAGGTGGTGTCCTCCGAACTCCAAGTGTCTCAGTGCCGACACCTGCCGCTGTGATGCGGGATTCAGTTCAGTCGAGGAGCTCATCACCAGCCCTGACGGCAGCTGTGACGGTACAGAGGCCTGGGGTGCTGGGCACACTGGAGGGGGGGTCTAGTCCTATGAGAGTGGGGGACTCGGGTCACAGTTGGAGTCCATCACTGAAGGAGAGAAAAGAAGGGGAGAAACAAGAAATCAATGTGCATGGCTTCCTGTGGAGAAAGGACCTGGGTGGCCAGGAGTCTGTGTGTCCATCTTCCCTCAGGACTAGGAGAGGGAGGTGCTGAGCCTCCAGCCCATCCCCTACCCTGTCACTATCCACTGTGCCTAAATCCTGCACGTCACCCTGAGAATTCAGAGGAGCAGAGCTGACTGATCAGCCTTCAGGAATGGCCTGCTCCCGGTGCAGCCCGGCTTCAGAGCGCAGCCCAAGATTCTTTTCAAAAGCGAGATCAGCCCCAGTGCTGGGGGTCAGGCTGGGGATGGGAGAGTCTCCCTCCTGAGAGAACTCACACCTTTGGAAGGTGACCTTTGGCCTGTGTGTTGCAGACATCAACGAGTGTGCACCACCTTTGAGGACGTACTGTGGGAAGTTTGCGGACTGCGAGAACACGGAAGGGAGCTATTACTGCACGTGCAGCCCAGGATATGCACTGGAGTCTGGGGACAAAATATTCAGGAACGAGAGTGAGAACACGTGTCAAGGTGAGACCCCGCCCTCCTCCCCATCACCAAGGAATGGCTGTACAAGCGCCTAGAGCGTGAGACGAGCTGGACAGGTGCGCGCGCACCTGCACACCAGCGCTGAGGGCAGGGCGGAGCCCTGTCCTGACTGCCTGTGCCCGATAGCAGGTTACCCAGCAAGCACTGCACAGGTGGGCACGGTGGTAATCCCGGCACTTGGAGGGCCAAGGCCAGAGGACTCGTTCGTTATTCCAAGTCAGGCTGGGCTAGCTGCAGAGGGGACAACTAGGGGCAGGGGACTTGCCAAGCAAGTGTGAGGACCTGGGTTCAATCCCCAGTGCTGCCAAATCAAAAACATTTTTGGCGTATGACATGCAATAAGATTCGTTGTGATTTTTTGTTTTAAGAAAGAAGGAAGGATTGGGGAGGAGGGGCCCTAGATTTTAAAGGTAAAAGTAAAAGCAGTAGTCCAGGGGTGGGGTGGGGCTCGGGAAGGGGCGTGGCTCCGGGAAGGGGCGTGGTTCCAGGTAGCTGCTTGCCCCAGCGGGTGCCAGGCCCGGCCCCAGGACAGAACGAACCAAGTAGCCTTGTCGTTGGCCCCTTGTGTGACCTTTGAGAAGTTACTTGACCTGTCAGGGCCTCAGTTTACCTGCCTGTGAAAGGGGAGCGACAGGACACTTCCTCCTGACACGCCTGGGAAGTCTCGTTAGCGATGGCGTGCTGTTGGAATTGTGTGCTGGTTCTGCTCTTGTGTGATTTACGCGCTGGTCAGGAAAGGGCTCTAGCGCCAGGCCACACCCCTTACTGCGGAGCCACGCCCGCCACGGTCCCCGCCCCTACAGCCCCGCCACTAAAGCCACGCCCCCAACCGCTGGGCCAAACTCCCATGCATTGAGCCGCCCGCCAATCACTGAGCCACGCCCCTGCCAGTGGGCCAATCGTTAAGGATGAGCCACACCCTGTCAGGGAACCATAATTCCAACTGTGAGCCCCACCCCGCCCGTGGCCACGCCCTGTGGCTGGCCTGAACCAAGGACACGCCCACCTGGGGGTCACTCGTCAGCTCCTGTGAAGGAAGGAAGGATTGGGGAGGAGAGCCCGCTCCTGACCCGACGGTCCTCCAATGCTGGTCCCCCTGCCAATTTGCATCTCATTTGCATCAACTGAACGCGGGGTGCATTCAGGATCTCGTCCTGGCCCGGATCGCCAGGGCACCGCCTCCGCCCCCAGGGCCGCACGGGCTCAGCCTCCCCGTAGGCCCTCGCAGCCCCCCCTCCGCCCCCACCTCGATGGACGCAGCCGGGAGACTCGGGACAAAGGAGACCAGAGGGGCGGCCACCCCAGGAGGGGCTTCCAACACCCCCTCAGCTGCTGGCCCTCTTCAGTTCCTGGCCAGGGGGCGGTGGGCAGGTGACCCTGACCCGCACCCCACGGCTGGGTGAGGACGAGGTTCCAGTGTGGACCCCAGAGCAAGAGGAAGAAAGGGAAGGTGCTGCGCGGACCTGTCCTGGGACGGAAGCTGATGGACTCGCCGAGTCCGGGTGGGAGTGAGGAGCAAGTGACACCCACGGCGCAGGCCTTGGCCGCGGGCCTCGCCGATGGCGGCTGGGCCGCCGTCCTCCTCCGTGGCCGTTCGCCCGCCCTGCCGGCTGCCCCCAGGCTCCGCCCCACCGTGCAGCCTCCGGGACGTCGGGGTCCAGTGGACAAGAGAGAGTCGTCCTGCCCAGCCCCCAGCCGTTCCGCCCCGTGGCATCAGGACACAGGTCGCCCCCGGGCGTCCCGGTGCCTGGGGCCGCCGCCTTCGTCCGCACTGGGTTCCCGCGGGGCCGGGCCGGCCTTTGCTCCCCATCCACAGGCGCCCGGACTCCCCTGCCCCAGCTGGCGGCAGAGGTCACCTCTCACAGCAGGATCACCTCCATGGCAACGAGAGCCCAGAGGAGACCACAGAACCTTCCAGATGCCTGATTGCAGGAGACAGGAGACGGGCGGACCCCCAGCCTAGAGTCCGCTGCAGCTGCGAGCCGCCTTCCCTCGCCTCGCAGGCGTGGGCGATGGAGAGCCGAGCCCCGGGGGCCTGCAGGGGCCGCACCGGAGCGGTGCTGGGGACCCAGGACTCAGATGCCAGGCAGCGCTGGGGGGTGGCGTCTTCTCTGCCACCCGGGGAAAGAACGCGTCGTTCCATTTCTGAGGACTTCAGCCACAGCCAGGACTGCCTCCAGCAGGAAGTCCAGCCCCATGACTCCGTTTCCCCCCTGGCATCAACTGTGCACCGAGGGCCGAGCAACCTGCCGGGCCCAAGTTCCCCGGGGCCACGTTCCTGGCGGAGGTGGTGACGCTGGAGGCCCCCGGGGGCCGGCACTGGCTACCAGAGAAGTGGGGGCGGTGACCCGAGGGTCGGGCCGCGTCTGACCCTCGGGCTTTGTCCTCAGACGTGAACGAATGCATCTCCGGCCACCACAGCTGCCACAGCTCCGCCCATTGCCTCAACAAAGCCGGCCGGTACGAGTGCCGCTGCCGACGCGGCTGGAGGCCGGTCCTGAGATCCCCCGAAGGCCCAACGCACACCCAGTGTGAAGGTCCGCAGCTTGCAGACCCCGCCACTCCGAGGGACGGGGACGGGCCACGCCCATCGCCTAGCCACGCCCATCGCAACCACGTCCATTGGCTACACGCTCCGCTCCCATGCTTAACCACGCCCACGACTTGATGTTCCTCGCTTGGCCACGCCCCCTCACCTATTCGTGCCCAGCTTGGCCACACCCCGTGCGCCCTGGCTGGACCCGGAGCCCCGGGTCCCGGGTCCCGAGAAGAGCGGGCACCAGCCCTGAGACTGCAGGACCCGGGCCGCTGCTTACTAACCGGACGCGATTCCCGATGTCCCAGGGCCCTGCGCCCTCGCCCGCCTGAGCCCCGCGCCCTCCGCCGCCACTGCGGCTCCTCTGGTCCAGCGGCACTGCCACCGCCTTGGGTTCCCGCGGGGCGGGGACGGGGTCTGAGCCGTTCCTGTCTCCGCAGACGTGGACGAGTGCCGCTCCGGACAGCACCGGTGCCACAGCTCCGCCGTCTGCGTCAACACCGTGGGGTCCTACAGGTGCCGCTGCCCCCCGGGCTGGCGGCCGCTGCCGGGGAGGACCGCGTGCGCAGGTGCCCGCGCCCCGCCCCGCCCGCTCCCCTTGCCCCGCCCGCTCCCCCGCCCCACCTGCTCCCCGCGCCTTGCCCCGCCTGCGCCCCGCCCCGCCCCGCCCGCTCCCCCCGCCCGCCCCGCCCACCGAGACCCTTTCTGTCCCCGCAGAGGTCGCCTTCCCCGCCTGGACGGCGCCCCCCGGAATCCACAGCCCGGTGAGGGGCGCAGCGGGGTCGGGGTGGGGTGAGACCCCTCGGCCGCCCCACGCACCCCACGCGGGGCTGGGCTCTGAGCGCCCCCTCTGCCCCCCAGGCTCTGGCCGCCTTCTTGGAGGAGATGCAGAATCTGACCAGAGACTTCCAGCCACACACAGCCCGGGACACAGAGGATGCCATCCAGGTGAGCAGGGCACAGGGGGACCTGGGGCTGGGAGGGGTGGTGGTGGTGGAGGGGTTCCCACTGCTCGCAACGGAGCAGGGCCCACATGCATCGGTTCAGCCACACACTGGCAGTACCTTGGTGGAAGCATTTCACCTGGGGAGCGCCTGGTGGCACACACCTGTAGTTCCAGCTATTCAGAGACTATGGCAAGAGATTACTTCGGCCATGACTTTGAGGCCAGCCTAGACTTCGAGATACAAATAAGCTAGGCAGGGGCTGGGAAGGTGGCTCAGTGGTAGAGCGCTTGCCTCACATGCATGAGGCCCTGGGTTGGATTCCTCAGCACCACATAAGCAAAAAGAAAAAAAGCCGGAAGTGGTGCTGTGGCTCAAGTGGAAGAGTGCTAGCCTTGAGCTGAAGAGCTGAGGGACAGCGCCCAGGCCCAGTGTTCAGGCCCCACGATTGGACCCCAAAAAAACAAAAACAAAAACAAATAAGCTAGGCACTGGTGGCTCATGCCTGTCATCCCAGCTACTCAGGAGGCTGAGACGTGAGGATTGCAGTTGGATGTCAGGCGAGGCAGGAGATATCAGGCTGTGAGACTCATCTCCAATTAATTAGCAAAAAGTCAGAAGTGGAGCTGTGGCTCAAGTGGTAGAGCGCCAGCTTTGAGTGAAAAACCCAAGTGAGAGTGTGAGGTCCTGAGTTCGAGGAGAAATGATTGGCACCTGCATTCTCTTGGTGTTTTGGCGTGGACGGAGGCCTTCACACAGCCCTGTGAGCCACTAACTCCGCTGCTCCGCCACCTGCCACCCCCAGAATCTCATCAAGGCTCTGGATGGGCTGCTGGAGGCTCCCGGGGACATGGAGAGGTTGGACTTGCCTGCTCGGCACCGCATTGCCACCCAGCTGCTCCTGGGCATGGAGGGCACGCTGAGGTCCCTGGCCCAGGCCTTGCCCTCAGGTTCCTTCAACTACACCTCCGGCTCCAGCACAGGTGAGACTTCTGTTGCCCAGCCACATCCTAGGCTCTATGGTGTGTGTGTGTGTGTGGTCAGTTGTGGGGTTGAACTCAGGGCCTGCGTGTGTGTGTGTGTATGTGGTCAGTTGTGGGGTTGAACTCAGGGCCTGTGTGTGTGTGTGTGTGTGTGGTCAGTTGTGGGGTTGAACTCAGGGCCTGGGCACTGTCCCTGAGCCTCTTTGTGCCACAGCGCCACTTCTGATTTTTGAGTGGTTTATTGGAGATAAGGGTCTCACAGAGTCTGCCCAGGCTGGCTTTGAACCATGATCCTCAGATCTCAGCTTCCTGAGTAGCTAGGATGACAGGGGTGAGCCTCCTGTGCCTCATGGGGCTTGACCTCTGGGCCTGCACCCTGTCTCTCAGCTCTTGAGCCACAGCGCCCCTTCTGGTTTTCTGATGGTTCATTGGAGATAAGAGTCTCACAGACTTTTTCTGCCAGGGCTGGCTTTGAACCACAATCCTCGGATCTCAGCCTTCTGAGGAGCTGGGATGACAGGCGTGAGCCACTGGTGCCTGGCTAGACTCCCTTGTTAAGCTGGAGTGTCTGTCGTGGCCTTGTCTCCTCAGCGTTGTTCCTGATGGTCCAGGAGCAGCAGCAGCAGCAGCAGCAGCCGGCTGGTAACACCACCATCGGCCATGGCCAGGCCCGGATGACGCTCAGCTGGGCTGTAGCCACTGGAAATGAACCGTCTAGAAATGGTAGGGGTCCCCAGAGGGAGTCTCTGGGAGTGGGGTGCGATCTGGGAGGACCCAACAGCCATCAGGAGAGGCTCCAGACTCATGGTGGCTGAGCTGAGCCTGAACCGGGCTGGCCCAGGAGAGAGGCTGGGAGAGATTAAGGGAGAGCATAAGGAGGAAAGCCGGCATGTCTCCTGTCTGTCCCCAGGCCCTACCGTGGCAGGCATCCTGTCCAGCCAGAACATGAAGAACTGGCTGACCAACAGCTCCTTAGACCTGGAAGGGAGGCTGGCCTCGCTGGAGGAGACCTACGAGAGCCCTGTGCTGGGCGTACAGTTCAGATTTCTCTCCAGCATCAATTCTGTGTTTTTGACCAACACGAAGACAGGGGAACTCGCCTACCCGGTCACCTTCAACTTCTCACACTCCGTGAGTCCCGACGTTCAAGCCTACAGTCAGCGGGGAGAGCCCCACACCTCCCTGTCCCTGCCTCCCCCAATCTGTTCTTTCTGTTCAGACCTCAGGACCCTGGCACCGGCTGGGGCACCTGCCTGGGCTGCTCGTTCTCTGTATCCTGGGCTGCTCGTTCTCTGTATAAGTCAGTTCTTTATCTTTTATCTTTGTCCAGGTGGCACCTTTTTTTTTTTTTGGTCGGTCGTGGGGCTTGAACTCGGGGCCTGGGCGCTGTCCCTCAGCTCTTCAGCTCAAGGGGAGCCCTCTACCACTTGAGCCACAGCACCACTTCTGGCTTTTTCTGCTTATGGGGTGCTGAGGAATCAAATCCTGGGCCTCATGCATGCAAGGCCAACACTACCACTGAGCCACCTTCCCAGCCCCAGGTGCCACCTGCTCGCTAGACTGTCCAGTGTCTCTCTGTCTCTCATGCTTGTGTTAGATACTGAACTCGGTGCCTCATACTCCCAGTTTGCTTTTTTCACTCAAGCCTGCTGCTCTACCACTTGAACCACAGCTCCACTTGTTTGGCTTTTTTGGTGGTTAACTGGAGATGAGTCTGGGCTGGATTTGAACTGTGATCTTTAGATCTCAGTCTCCTGAGTAGCTAGGATTACAGGCGTGAGTTGCCAGTGTCCTGCTGCTCAGTAGGTATTCCTTTAGTTTGAAAAGTAGCCTGGACCTAAGGCTGGGGGCTCCAAGCAAACCTCTCTGACCAGCTCTGTGCAACCCACAGCGGGAGATGCCGGGGCCTCGGGACGAGGTCATCTGTGCTTTCTGGAAAGGGGAAGACGGCAACAGGAGTGGACACTGGTCCACGGAAGGCTGCCGGAAGGTGGACAGTAAGGATGGCATCACCATATGCCAGTGCCGGCACCTGAGCAGCTTCGCCATCCTCATGGCTCACTACCACATCCAGGTGAGCGAGGGCTGTCCCTGCCCCGTGGAGGCGCCTCAAGTGACCCCACGTCCTTCCCGGTGAGGGGCCGTGGATGGGTGCAGCCTGTCTGTGTGCCAGGAGAGGACCCAGGAAAATAGGACCTGGTCTGGGGTGAGGGGACAGGGTCTGAGGGTGTGCCGCCCAGCGCCTCCTCTTTGTGTCCCCCCCTTCCCCTAGGACCCGAGGCTGGCACTGATCACCAAGGTGGGGCTGTCGCTGTCCCTGGTCTGCCTGCTGCTCTGCATCCTCACCTTCCTGCTGGTACGCTCCATCCAGAGCTCGCGCACCACCGTGCACCTGCACCTGTGCCTCTGCCTCTTCGTGGGCTCCGCCTTGTTCCTGGCGGGCGTGGAGAACAACGCGGAAGGCGGTGAGGACGCGACGCCCTGCCCGGCCTGCCAGGAGAGCTGGAGCCTCGAGGCCCCGCCCGTCCGGGGCTCCGGCCCCGCCCTCCCCGGCGAGGCCCCGCCCCCGCCGGTGGGGCTGCGCTGCCGCCTGGTGGCCGCGCTGCTGCACTACTGCTTCCTGGCCGCCTTCTGCTGGATGAGCCTGGAGGGCCTGGAGCTCTACTTCCTGGTGGTGCGCGTGTTCCGCGGCCAGGGCCTGCGCACGCGCTGGCAGTGCCTGCTGGGCTACGGCGTGCCGCTGCTCGTCGTGGCCGTGTCGGCCGCCGTCTACAGCGAGGGCTACGGCCGCCCCAGCTAGTGAGTGGCGGGCCCGGGGGCGAGGCTGGGCCCGGGGCGCTGGGGACCCGGGGCTGAGGCCGCTTCTGCTCCTTCCAGCTGCTGGCTGAGCCTGAAGCGGGGCTTCCTCTGGAGCTTCGTGGGCCCGCTGGCCTTCATCATCCTGGTGAGCCGAGGACACGGACGCCTCCACCCACCCCGCCCTCCTGCCATCCCCCCTCCTGCACTGAGCCCTCTCACCCCCTCCTGCCATCCCCCCCTCCTGCGCTGACCCCTCGCACCCCCCTGCTCCCTGCCCTCCTGCGCTGAGCCCTCCCACCCCGCCCTCCTGCGCTGAGCCCTCCCCCCCCGCCCTCCTGCGCTGAGCCCTCCCCCCCCCCCGCCCTCCTGCGCTGAGCCCTCCCACCCCCCCCCCCCCGCCCTCCTGCGCTGAGCCCTCCCACCCACCCCGCCCTCCTGCGCTGAGCCCTCCCACCCACCCCGCCCTCCTGCGCTGAGCCCTCCCACCCCACCCTCCTGCGCTGAGCCCTCCCACCCCACCCTCCTGCGCTGAGCCCTCCCACCCCACCCTCCTGCGCTGAGCCCTCCCACCTCGCCCTCCTGCGCTGAGCCCTCACCGCCCCCCCCCCCCCCGCCCTCCTGCACTGAGCCCTCCCACCCCACCCTCCTGCGCTGAGCCCTCCCACCCCGCCCTCCTGCGCTGAGCCCTCCCTCCCACCCCGCCCTCCTGCGCTGAGCCCTCCCACCCTCCCCGCCCTCCTGCGCTGAGCCCTCCCACCCTCCCCGCCCTCCTGCGCTGAGCCCTCCCACCCTCCCCGCCCTCCTGCGCTGAGCCCTCCCACCCACCCCGCCCTCCTGCGCTGAGCCCTCCCACCCTCCCCGCCCTCCTGCGCTGAGCCCTCCCACCCTCCCCGCCCTCCTGCGCTGAGCCCTCACCCTCCCCCCCGCCCTCCTGCGCTGAGCCCTCACCGCCCCCCCCCCCCCCCCCCCCGGCTCTCCTGCACTGACCCTCCGTCCCCCCCCTCTCGCCCCCCAGTGCAACGCGGTCATCTTCGTGACCACCGTGTGGAAGCTCGCGCAGAAGTTCTCGGAGATCAACCCCGACATGAAGCGGCTGCGGAGGGCGCGCGTGCTCACGGTCACGGCCGTGGCGCAGCTGGTGGTGCTGGGCGGCACGTGGGTGTTCGGCCTGTTCCTCTTCGACCCACACAGCATGCCGCTGTCCTACGCCTTCTCGCTGCTCTCGGGCCTGCAGGGGCTCTTTCTCTTCCTGCTGCTCTGCGTGCTCAACAAGAAGGTGCGCCGGCTGGGGGCGGGGCGGGGCCGGCGGGGCGGGGTGCGGCCGAGTGCGTGGGGCGGGGCCAGCAGGGGTGGGGCCTAGTGCGTGGGGCGGGGCCAGCAGGGGCGGGGCCAGCAGGGGTGGGGCCGAGCACATGGGGCGGGGCCAGCAGGGCGAGGCGTGGTCAGCAGGGGCGGGGCCAGCAGGGGCGGGGCGGGGCCGAGCGCGGGGCGGGGGGGGGGGGGTGCAGCAGGGGCCGCCCCCGGCCTGACCCCCGTGCCCCGCAGGTGCGGGAGGAGTACCGCCGGTGGGCCTCCGCCGTGGTTGAGGGCAAGTACTCGGAGTTCGGCTCTTCGCACTCGTCCAGCACGGGCTCCAGCCAGCAGACGCGGGTGAGGGCAGCGGGCCGGGCCGCATGGGGGGGAGGAGGGCGGGCAGGAGGGAGGGCATGGCGGCTGAGGGCTTCGCGTCTCCCTCCAGGCCCTGAGGTCGTCGTCGTCGGGCTGTGACTCCCGGTGCGGGCCTCGTTGCAGCCTGGGCGGCGGCCAGGCCCCCAGGACCCCCGCGTCCTGCCACTGCCCGGCCTGGGAGACGGACTGGCCCCGGGCGCACGGGGAGACTGAGGCCGAGGCGGCGCCGCCGGGGCGCTGGCCGCCGCTTTCTTAAGCTAGGACTCAGCCGCTGAGGCTCACGGTACGAGGCCGCGGCCCGGGAAGGCGGGCGTGGCGGGCCCTCTCTGCGGTGTGCGGTGAAGGTGCACCGCGCCTGGTACAGGCCCGGCCGCGGACAGTGTGGACGCGGAGGAGACCACAGGAGACCACGGGGCCGGGCTTCCATAATAAAAATTTATTCGTACACAAATCTACAGCTTTGCCACAGTAAAAAGAGAGGTGGGCCGCGCGTGCGCAGGCCGGGGCGGCGAGGCCGGGCTGGCGGGAGCAGCGACATCCCTGGGCCGCTTCCGCTTCCGTGGTTACCGGCTCTGCTCAACTGCCGAGACAGGGGAGCGGGGGTCAGGGGCCGAGGGGGTCCGCACCTCCTCCCCCTCTCCCCCCCCCCCCCCGCGCCGCCCCGGGCGCCGCCCTCACTGTATGTGGAGATGTCGATCTCTTCCGGCAGCTCGGCCACGTTCACCTCGAAGCGGTCCTGCACGTCGTTGAGGATCTTGGCGTCATTCTCATCGGACACGAACGTGACGGCCAGGCCTTTGGTGCCAAATCGGCCGGCGCGGGCCACCTGCGGGGGAGGCCGGCGGGGTCAGGGCACGGGCGGGGCGGGCGATGGCGCGTGCGCGTGCAAGAACACTCACGCGGTGTAGGTAGGTGTCCGAGTCCTCGGGCATGTCGTAATTGAAGACGATGTTGACCCGCTCGATGTCCATGCCCCGGCCGAACAGGTTGGTGGCCACCAGGATGCGGCGCTGGAAGTCCTTGAACTGCTGGTAGCGGGACAGGCTGCGGGGAGGGGGCGTGCGGGCCTGCGTGAGTGGGGGGCTGCGCGCAGCGGGCCGGGGCGCGGGCCGGGGCAGGCGCACTCACCGCTCCTCCTGGGCCATGCCCCGGTGGATGGCGATGGCCGGGAAGTTCTGCTCCACCAGGAGCTGCGCCAGCGCCATGCAGCGCTGTACAGACTTCACGAAGATCACCACCTGTGGGTGGGTGGGTCGCGGCCATCAGACTTGCAGGACGCTTGCGTGGGGGGGGCAGGCGTGCGGCGGGGCCTCACCTGGTTAAACTCCAGCACGTCCAGCAGGTCGAAGAGCTTGCGGTTCTTCTCGCTGTCCTTGAGCTTCACATAGTACTGCTGCAGCCCGTGCAGCGTGAGCTTCGTCTCGTCGTCCACAAACACCTCCATGGGCTGTGTGGGGGGAAGCGGGGGCGGCGGGGCTCACTGGGGCGCCGGGCCCGCGCGCGGAGGCCCGGGCGGCGGCGGGCCCGGGCGGCGGGGCCCCGTACTCACGTCCTGCATGAACTTCCTGCACACGGGCCGGATCTCCTTGCTCAGGGTGGCGCTGAACATCATGCACTGCTTCTCGTGCGGGGTCAGCCGGAAGATCTCCTGCACGTCCCGCCGCATGTCTGCGTGCGGGCCAAGAAGCGCGTGCGGGCGTGAGCGGCCGCGCGCCCCGCCCCTTCCCACCCCGCGCCGGGGAGCGGTGGCCGCGTGCCGGGCACGGCGGGCGCGGGAGGAGCCGCGGTCCACTTACGCCGCCAGCGGCCAGCGCGGAGCAGCCGTGCCGGGGCGCCTCGAGCCGAGCCGCGCTTCGGGCTGGGGAGCCTGAGGCAGAGACAGCTGGCGTGAGCGCGGCTGCGCCCCGGCCCCGCGCCCGGCCCCCCCCGCCCTCGCCCCCGGCCCCAAGAGGCGCAGGCGGCCAGGCCAGAGCCAGCCTCCCGCGCCCACCCAGGGGCCCTGCGCTGGGCGCAGCCGGGCGACAAGCGACAACGCCTCGGGCGGGGCTGGAGCCCCGTGTGGACGCGGCGCCCCGGCCTCCCCGACGCCCCAGCGCCGCCCGGGGCGCGGACACCCACCCAGCTGCTCCAGCATCTTGTCACACTCGTCCAGCACGAAGTGCTTCACGTTCCGCAGGTTGAGGGTTCGGTTCCGCACGAGCGCCAGGATCCGGCCCGGCGTCCCCACCACCACGTGCGGACAGTTCTTCTTCAGCACTTCCTCGTCCTTCTTGATGGAGAGGCCCCCGAAGAACACGGACACCTGGGGGCCCGAGGGAGCTGCTTCACCACCCACATGCGTGCCAGCCCCGGCGGCGGGTGGGCACGGGGATGGGCCTGCGGGATGGCTCAGGCCATGCCCCCAGGGCGTGGACGGCACGGGGCCGCCCGAGCGCCCCACCGCGCTGTCTCCGGGGACCCGGAGCGAAGCGGGTGCAGCGGGCGTGGAGCGCGGCCCCGGAGGCCATGCATAATTCAGCAGGCTTTTAAGGCGCATAAACCACCACAAACCTCGAAGGCAGCGGCTGGAGCCAAGCCTGGTAAAAGTGGGCGTGGCCAGGGCGGCGGGGCGGGGCCGGGGCGGCCGGGTGGGGCGGGGGGCAGCCCGGTGGGGCGGGGGGCAGCCGGGTGGGGCGGGCGGGCGCGCTCACCTTGACGCTGGGCATGTACTTGGAGAAGCGCTCGTACTCCTTGCTGATCTGGAAGGCCAGCTCCCTCGTGTGGCACATGACCAGCACCACCACCTGGGGGGGGGCCGGGCCGTGAGGCGGGCTCACCTGCGGGGACGGCACTGCCTGCCCAGGCCTGCGCAGCAGGAGCCGTCAGGAGCAGGGGGAGGGCCGGCCTTGCCCCCCCCCCCCCAGGTCATCCAGCAACGCGGGTGTGCACAGCGCGTGGGCCGGAGCCCCCCCTTCCCGGGGTGCCCGCCGCGGGCGCGCACGCGCACACACCTGGCTGCTGACGGGCTCGATCTGCTGCAGGGTGGCCAGCACGAACACGGCGGTCTTGCCCATCCCGGACTTGGCCTGGCACAGGACGTCCATGCCCAGGATGGCCTGGGGGATGCACTCGTGCTGCACTGCGGGGGGAAGGGCGGGTGAGGGCCCGCGGGACGCGGCGAGGGCGGCGGGCCAGGCCCGGCTCGCGCGTACCTTCCGACGGGTGCTCGAAGCCGCAGTCCACGATGGCGCGGAGCAGCTCGGGCTTCAGCAGGAAGTCCCGGAAGCCCGAGCTGTGGATGGACACGTAGGAGCCCTTGACGTCCTTCTTGGGGGGAGCGGGGGTGCTCTCCGGAGGGGCCTGGGGCTCTTCATCCTCCTCGTAATCCAAAAGCTCATTCTCCACGTCCTGCTCTGCCATGGTCCTGGGGAGGCGGGACCCGTGAGCAAGGGGGTGGGGCGGGGCCGAGCTCCATCCCACCGCCCACCGGCCCCCCCCAGATCTGCGAGGGGTAGGACCAGAGACCGGGGGCTGTGGAGCAAGACCCCAGCTTCCCCTGGAGCCAGCCAGCGCCGATCTCAGACTGCTCACGTCAAGGCAGTCTGCTCTCAGCCTGCACCCCTACCCCCCCACTCCTCACCCAGGCAGCCACAGGTCCCCAGGCTGCCACCACCACCCTCTCTTTAAAACAGCTTTACTGAGATATGTACTTGCTATCAAATTCACCAAGACAGGCATGGTGGGTCACACCTGTAATTTCAGCTACTCAGGAGGCAGAGAGATCAGAAGGATTATAGTTGAGAGGCCAGACTGGGTAAAAAGTCATCAAAATTACATTTCAACCTATGAACTAAGTGTGGGTGCATCACATCAACAGGGCTTAGGGTGCAGGTAAAAACGTGAGACCTGATTTGAAAACTAAATAAAGCAAAAAGTGTGAGGGCCATGGTTCAATGGATAAGAGCGCTTACCTCACGCCCAGGCCGAGTTCAAGCCCCACAACTGACCCTTCCCCCCCAAAAAAAGCTAGAAGTGGAGTCCTGATCAAGTGGCAGAGCACCAACCTTGATGAGCAAAAAAGCCAAGGGATTATGCTGAGAATGTACTATATATAACCAGTGGAAGGGACAGAAGGGAAAAACTGGGTGAGAGCTAGGGACAGGGTGACATAGGCCAAAAAGAAATGTACTCTTTACCTGACTTATTTAACTGTACCCCCTGAACCTCACCTATGTAGTAACAAAAAAGAGAAAAAGCCTAAGGAAAAGCTCTTAGCTTCTGATTCTAAACTCTAGGACCAGAATGCATGTGCACACAAGTGCGCGCACACTCACACTCACTCACACACACACACACACACACATACGCGCACATGCGCACTTCTGCACCTTGTAACCATGCTGCCACCCACCCAGCACTCCTGTACTGCCTGTCTCTGGATTTCCATGTTCTGGCACTTCATATAAATGCCATCATACAGCAGAAGCTCTTTTGTCAGGCTCTCTCTCTCCCTTGGCATCCCATTCTTGGGGTTCATTACCATTATCAGGGCTTCACTTTTTAGGGCTGAGTAATATTCCATCCTATGAGTGTACTGCATGCTACTTATCCATCGGTACATCATTCCGGCCTGGATTATGCCCACAGCCTCAGCCCTTCCCCACACAGCCAGAGAGAGACTATAAAGACAAATTGCATCTGACTTGCCACACTCTGCCACTGTGCTCAAAGCCTCCCTCCTCCCACCATGCTCAGGGTGAACCTGAGTCCCAGCTTCCACCACCCCTCATGACCAGACTTCACGGCCCCTTTGGCAGGTGTTGCCTCCAATACCTCACCACCTTCCAACCTCCACTTCCTTTAGTGGCCACTGATCCACTGTATTGTCCTTGAACATCTCAGGTAGCACCCCACTAGTCAGGTGCTACCTGTAATCTGGGACACTTGAAAGGCTGACATCTCAGGATTGTGGGTCAAAGCCAACTGAAAACTCCAATCAGAAAAAACCTGGACTGAAGGTATGACTCAAATGGTAGAGCACCAGGTTTTGGAAAAAAAAATCTAAGCACAGAAGGCCTTAAGTTTAAGTTCTAGTATCAGTGCACAGAAGTGTGTGTGCGCACAGACACAGGCCTGGAGGCCTGGCTCAAGTGGCAGAGTGTCCCTGCCCAGCAGTCAGGACACCCTTAGTTTAAACACCAGTACTGCAAAAGTTAAAAAGAAAAAAGAAGTGCCAGTCAGGCCCAGGGCACATTACTTCATTTGCTAATGACTGGAGAATTGCTGACAGGTTTCCAGAGTGAGTCAAGCAGGATCTTCCTAAGAATAATTTATTCCTCAGGGGGAGTGGAAGGTATGACTGACAGCAGGAAAATCAGTCATCAAGTGCTGGTAACTAATCAGGGAGGGGCCAAAGTAAGTTGAGAAGGAGGAGGGGGGACTTTTAAACAGATCTAAGTGGGGGTGGAGGGGGTGC